CTCCGTTACCCCCATCCGCATCCTTATCTCCATGCCCACCCCCAGGGTGTTTTTGAGACTTCTCAAAAACACCCTGCAGCATTGCTGTGCCTCTCTTTTACCCCCATCCGCATCCTCATCTCCCATTCCCACCCCCAACCCCATCCCCATCCCCTTCTTCCCGTTCTCCCCCTCCCTTCTCTTCAACTTTCCCATTTCACCCCTCATCCAGGCGTGGTTCCGCGAGTTACCAGAGGGCCTACTGGACCGCTTGAAGCCAGAGAAGGTAGCGGCAGCAGAGAGGGAGGAGCAGATGCTGGCGCTCGTGGCCACACTGCCCGCCCTGCCTGACCTGTACCCCCACCCCCGCACCGCACCCTCCCACTCAATGCAGGCGTGGTTTAGGGAGTACCAGAGGGTCTACTGGACCGCTTGAAAGCCAGAGAAGGTGGCAGCAGCGGAGAGGGAGGAGCAGATGCTGGCGCTCGTGGCCACACTGCCCGCCCTGCAGGCTGGCATGCTGGACTGGGCGGTGGGGCTGATGGCGGACGTGGTTGCAGCACGAGGCGAGCAAACAAGATGAACGCGCATAACATCGCTGTGGTGTTCGCTCCAAATATGACGCAGGTGTGTGGGTGCATTGGGTGGGCCGGGGGTGTGGGGTTCTGGGAATGGGCAGTGGTTGGGGTGAATTTGGCGGTGGATGGGTTGGGTGGGTTGGGTGGGTGTAGTTCAGTCTTGAGAGCTCTCACTGCTGGACTGGGCGGTGGGGCTGATGGCGGACGTGGTGCGGCACGAGGCGAGCAACAAGATGAACGCGCATAACATCGCTGTGGTGTTCGCGCCCAACATGGCCCAGGTGGGTTGCTAGGTGCCTCAGGTGGGGTTTCAGGTAGCCCAGGTGGTTGGCCAGATGGCCCAGGTGGGTTTTGAGGTGGCTCAAAAGGCAGCAAGAAGATGGGGAAGGGCGTCGTTTATCCTTCTTTCCTCCGTCCAACTCTGTCTCTTGCTCCTACCCTCCTCCCCTCTCCTTCCCTCCTCTCTTCCTCGTTCCCCACCCCCGGACCCTCTCCCACCAGATCGTTGACCCCCTCCCACCCAGATCGTTGACCCCCTCCCACCCAGATCGTTGACCCCCTCCCACCCAGATCGTTGACCCCCTCCCACCCAGATCGTTGACCCTCTCATCGTCTTCCAGCACGGCAGCAAGGTGACGGACGGACCTCCTCTCAGAGCGCTTGTGCAGCGCAAGCTCAAGCACACAGCTCAAGCACACAGCTCAAGCACACAGCTCAAGCACACAGCTCAAGCACACAGCTCAAGCACACAGCTCAAGCACACAGCTCAAGCACACAGCTCAAGCACACAGCTCAAGCACACAGCTCAAGCACACAGCTCAAGCACACAGCTCAAGCACACAGCTCAAGAAGCCCTTCTTTCTGCCTTTCCCCTCCTTCCTTCTCCCTCCTTCCCCCTCCTCACTCAGATCATGGACCTCCTCAGAGCGCTTCACACTTGCCCCTTCCTCTCCTCTCCCCAACCAATCCCTCTCCCTCCCTCCACTGGCCCCCTGCTCTGCCCCCCAATGGCCCCCGGCTCTCCCCCCCACTGGCCCCGGCTCTCCCCCCACTGGTCCCCGGCTCTGCCCCCAATGGCCCCGGCTCTGCCCCAGATTGTGGACCCGCTAATCGGCTTCCAGCATGTCATCAAGCTCATGGACCTGCTCAGAGTGCTCGTGCAACGCAAGCTCAAGCAGCGCCTCGACAACCCCCCTCTGTCCGCCGCTCCTCTCACGGACCAACCAGCACAGGACGGGGCAGAGAGGGGGGAGAGGGAGGAGGAAGGGGAGGAGGAGGAGGAGGAGGAGGGACAGGAGCGGCACGGTTTCAGGCAGATATGGTGGCTTTCTCGGGGAATGGTGTGCATGAAGAGAGCACAGGTCATGAGGAGGAAAGGGAGGAAGATGATGAGAGGGGGGGAGAGCCGTTATTGGATGAGTGCACAGCACCTCTGGCAGGAGATGACCCTCACACGCCATTGCCAGACCTCTTGTTCCCGAACCTCTCCTTGCCGAGCCTCTCATTCCCGGACCTCATGGCGAGCGTCCGTTTGGTTCGCCTAGCAGAATGGGAGAGAGGAGATGCGGAGGAGGAGGGGATGGAGGTCGGGCGGTGGAAGGAAGAGGGGGGAGAAGAGGACGACCGAGCAAAGGGAGAGGGGCAGGGCGAGGGGGGAGGGGGGTCGGGCGAGGGGCAGAGGGAGAAAGAGTGGCACTAGGAGTTGCAGGAGGGGCAGGAGTGGGAGGGGTAACGGGAGGGGTTGGAGGGGTAACAGGCGGGTTTGGAGGGGTTGGAGGGAGCCGAGGTTGTGGTGTTCCCGTGTGCAGGAGTGAGGAGGTACAGGGGTCAACTTGGATCGTTGATAATAGGCTTGAGGGGGACAGTGCATGTGATCGGCAAGAGGGGAGCAGCGGCAGCGAGGGGGAGGCAGTGGTGTGTCATGGGTGGGACATGATGCCAGCTGTAACGGGCAATTCGCTTCCGGTTTCGACCAGTGCTGGCGATTCTGCACACCAACGGCAGCAGCAGCAGCAGCAGCCGTTTAAGCCGGCGTGGAAGCAGCGCGGTGCAGAGCGGTGCAGCACATTGAGCATGGAGTGCGGGCTGAGCATGGATGGCAGCAGCATGTTCAGTCCACACGGGGGCATGCTGAGTCCGTGTGAGAGCATAGACAGCCCGGGGGGGGTCCTTGCCACGCCCGTGGGTCTCACAGGGGCAGCTGCAGCTGCTGCTGCTTCTGACCCTGCCTTGTTCCTGAGGTTCCGCAGCGATTCGCGGGAACAGCAGCAGGGGCTTCTCACTCAGGCGCCTCAGCAGGCGATCCTGCCTGCTGCGCCCCCCGTTGGAGGGACTGTTGGCCTCTACGCACGGGCGCATGCAGCTGCTGCTGCTGCTGCTGCTGCTGCTGCTTCTTCCCCTGCTTCCTCCCCTGCTGCTGCGCTTGGGTTGGCATCCTCCTCAGCAGCAGGCAGTGCAGCCTCCTCTCCCACGGTAGCAAGCCCTGCACTGAGCCCTGCGGCCTTCTCTCCCACTACCGGCACCCCCAGCTCGGCAGGAGAGAGGCGGCACGGGGGGCACAAGGGAGGGTTCAAGGGCGACCTGTGGTCCAGACGAAAAGGGCCTGCAGTGCCCCACTCCCGCCTCTCCCTCCCTGCTGCCTCCTCCCCCTCTGCTGCTGCTGCTGCTGCTGCTGCTGCTTGTGCCAACAATGGTGCTTACCCGGCTAATGCCAGTGCCTCTCGCACTGCCAGCAACAGCAGTGCTGGCAGCGATGCTGCTGCTAGAGCTGCCACCAGCAGCAGCGGTGACCTGACCCCCACCCCTCCCGCCAGCACTGGTGGCTTCACACCCACCCATCCCCTCACACCCACGCCTCCCTTAACTCCCACGCCTCCCTCCCGTCCGCTCAAGGACCCCTCCGCCCACTCCCCATCCCCCCTTCGCTCCCCTCTGCTGGGACGGAGACGAGGGTACAAAGAGAAGAAGCACTCTCCGGGTAGCAAGCAGCAGCAGCAGCAGCAGCAGCAGCACGCAGTGCTGGCGTCGGCACCATCAGCTGGGGCAGCAGGTGAGTGTGCCCCAGCGCTGACCCCCCGGTCAGGGTTTGGTGCTGTGCCCCCAGGCACGCCCCCTTCAGAGGCCGCTCAGAACCCTGCTGTGACTCCTCGCTCGTTCCTCTCCCGGCAGTTCCCAGGAGGGTCGGGCTTTGGTGCGGTCCCAGGCACGCCTCCCCCTCACTCGCCCCGCCTATTCCCCCTGTCGCCGCGGAACTTCTTTAGAAAGCACAAGTCGGAGGGGGGCGTGGAGAGGAGAGACGGGGTAGAGCGGGACGAGGGGAGAGAAGGTGGAGAAGGGAGAGAAGCGAGAGAAGGGAGAGAAGGGGGAGAGGGGCATGAGCATCACTTGCAACACTCTAGGCTGATGGTGGTGGGTGAAAGTTCAGACAACCACGTGGGGGAATCAGGAGGCATTCCAGGTTCAGAGCACACTGAAGCAGGGGCGTTTCCAGAGACAGGTGGTGGGGTTGGTGGAGACAGGGAGGGAGGGGTTTGTGCTGTTTCTCAAGTCAGTTCTGTTCCTCAAGTCGGTTCTGTTCCTCAAGTCGGTTCTGATTCTCAAGTCGGTTCTGTTCCTCAAGTCGGTTCTGTTCCCCAAGCTGGTTCTGCCCCTCGGTTGCCAATTACCTGGTCTGACACGCAGTGTGCTTTTGAGAGCTCTCCACACCAATCTCCCCTGGGGTATGAGCAGCAGCATCAGGTGCAGTGGGGTGACAGCAGCACGGGAAATGTGGGAGAGCATGCGGGGGAAGCGGGGGGGACAAGAGGAACAGGATGGGCGGCAGTAGAAGCAGCAGCGGCAACAGCAACTGGAGGGCGGCCAAAGTCGAGTGGGGGTTGGAGAAGAGGGTGGTCTGGGCCTCATGGGGTGGCAGGGGTGGGTAAGGGCATGCACCTGCTCAGCCCACACAGGGGTGATGCACACAGGCCAGGGCATTGGGACACCGCTGCTGCTGCTTCCGCTGCCGCTGCCGCCGCCGCCGCCGCCGCCACCGCTGCTGCTGCTGCTGGTGCTGGTGCTGGTGCTGGCGCTGGTGCTGGTGCTGCTGGTGCTGCTAGCGATAGTGCCACTGCTGCCAGTGGTGCCAATCCAGGTGGTTCGGCCAGCAGGAGCGGCCGAACGAAGCTGGGAGCAGCAGGGTCGGGGCTGGCAGCAGCAATGAAAACATCGGTGAAAACGTCTATGAAGGTACTCGCCCCGCTTGCACCCACCAAGACCTGGGCGTCAGGCATGGGCGATATGTTTGGGGCCAAGTCCCCCCCGCGCTCTCCTCTCCCCGCACTCTCTCCTCTCCCCCCGCGGCTTCCTTTCCCCTGGTGGTTTCCGCTCCCCCCACCCGTCCGGACACGGAGAGAGGGCGGATGGGGGAAACAGGGGGGTGAGGGGGACAGGGCATATGGGGAAGGCAGTGTGAAAACGCCAGGAAGGGGAGAGGGGGCAGGCAGGGGAGAGGGGGCAGGCAGGGGAGAGGGGGCAGGCAGGGGAGAGGGGGCAGGCAGGGGAGAGGGGGCAGGCAGGGGAGAGGGGGCAGGCATGGCGGATTTCTTACCCAGCGAAGAGGAGAAAGGAGGGAGAGAGGAGGGAAGAGAGGAGGACGGGGAGGAGCGGCGATTCCCAGCCGAACAGGCGTCTCTCGACTTGCCTGTCAAATCACCAAGGGCATTTCGGAAACTAACCCGGAGGTCGAGTGGGTTTCAGCTGCCGACGCGGGCAGCAGTAGCAGCAGCCATGACCCTCCCCTCGTCCCTCTCCATGAAAGAGCGGCGCTCCGAATCATCAGCAGCACCAGCCATTTTCTCCCTCCCTCCCTCTGCTTCTCTCTCCTCTGCCTCCCCTTCCTCGGCAAAGCCTCCGTGGGGCTCCGGGTCGATGCAGGAACGGCCTCTGCACCTGCAGCAGCAGCAGCAGCAGCGCCTGGCGCAGGCTCGGCAGCAGGAGGTTCGGCAGCCGGAGGCTCGGCAACTGGAGGCTCGGCAACTGGAGGCTCAGCAGTCGGGCGTCTCCCAGGCTCCGCTGGAGGGTCGGTTGCGGCAGGTCCGGAAGGGGAAGGTGCAGCTTCCTCGGGCTATTTCAGCGGATCAGTATCAGCAACACGATGGGAGGGAGTTCTTCCAGGAACAGCTATCGCTGCAGCAACAGCACCTTCAGCAGCAGCAGCAGCAGCAGCAGCAGCAGCAGCAGCAGCAGCAGCAGCGAGCTCCTCTAGAGAAGGCAAGCAGTGCGAGTGCAGCTCTGGCAGCGTGGGCCAAGCGGTCAAAGCAAGGGGGGCAGAGGCAGGGGCAGGCACGCAGAGAGGGGGTTGGTGGTGGTGGTGGTGGTGTTAACGGTGGCGGTGGAGGTGCTGGTGGGTGGCATGGTGTGGCTCGTAGTGTGTCGGTCGATGTGGTGACACATGGCATGGCCTCTCAGGCAGCAGAGCTTGGGGGAAACTCTGGAGCAGGAGGAGGAGGGGAAGGAGCAGGAGGAGGAGGGGAAGGAGGAGGAGGAGGAGGAGGAGGAGGAGGAGGAGGAGGAGGAGGAGGAGGAGGAGGAGGAGGAGGAGGAGGAGGAGGAGGAGGAGGAGGAGGAGGAGGAGGAGGAGGAGGGGTGGGGAAGGTGAGAAGACATGCAGGAGGGGCTGTGGGTGTGAGTGGCAGCGGGGAGAGAGTGAGGGCGCCGACACTGGAAAGACCACGTGTGCCCATTGCACGGTCAGAGTCAGAGTCAATCCCTAGGTCGTCCAGTTTCAACAGCCACCACCAGCCACCGCTGCCGCAGCAGCAGGTGCAGGGAGCACACTTAACAGCAGCAGCACAGCTGCTGCAGCAGCAGCAGGGAGCGCAATCGTCTGATTACTCAAGGTCGGTTATCCGGTCGTCCAGTTTCAACAGTCACCACCAACCTCTGCCGCCCCAGCAGCAGATGCAGGGATTGCTGTCATCTGACCACTCTAGGTTGGTTCCCCGGTCGTCCAGTTTCAACAGCCATCACCAGCCACTGCAGCCGCCGCAGCTGCAGGGATCACCAGCAGCGGCACAGCTGCAGCTGCAGGGAGCGTACTCGTCTGACCACTCAAGGTTGGTTCCCCGGTCGTCCAGTTTCAACAGCCATCACCATCCTCTGCCGCCGTATCACCCACCATCACAACTGGCAGCAGCAGCAGGAGCAGCAGCAGCACCACCACTATCACCACTGCAAAAGCAGCACCAGCAGCAGCAACAGCCAGGTGACAATGTCAGGTCCTGGGGCCATGTCCCAACCGCCGCTTCAGGCTCGAGGCCTGGCTCGGGCCAAGGCTCGAGGCCCGGATCCAGGCCCGGATCCAGACCTGGGTCGTCCCAAGGGATTGTGAGAAGTGGGTCTGGTTCTGTATTGAACCAAGATGCTCCCATGGTTGCTGGTGCTGTTGCTACGGCCTTGACTGAAGGAATGCCGAGTGAGGGTAGGGTGGGGTCTGGTGTAAGATTAGCGGTAGGAGCGGTTGGTTTACCCAGGAGAAAGAGTACTAGGTAGTAAGGGCATGTTTGTAATGTAATGATGGAGTAATTGGTGTGTTTCGGCTGAAATATGCGGGTGTGGTTGGTTGGGCTGCTTAGGAATACCGTATCTTTCTGTGCGATTGTCTTGCTGGAAACGTAGTGTAGGCCATCTTTTAAGGTTGTGCAGTGCAATGCTGTGTAATGTGGAAAGAAGGAATCCTTCAATCTACCATATCGTCTGATTTCCGCCTCAGCACAGCACTGAATGCATGCCTGGGAAGTGGAGAGAGTGTCATGTCATGTACGGTAGTGTTTCTTTGGTTATGGTACCATTTGGAAAGGCAAATATCTGACCATTGCATTGAAAGTATCATATAATATAAAGCGTTAAAAACAATATGAGCAATATATATAAGGGAGCCCCTCCCCACCAATCGCAAGAGGCTTGTAAGGAGATCGGTGTGACATTAGACCCAGTTCGAGTCAACGCCCCCCTTGGTGCGAGCTACGGTAGCTGAGAGGAGTATGAGCAATTATTCTCCACGAGCATCCATCTTGGTCACTACCACAATACCGGTAGTGTGAATATACATGCTAGCAGTTGGGAGGTTCCAGTGAGGTTGATGCGGGCTTCCGCTTGTTGATTAGCTGTGGGTCACACGAGCAGGTAACAGCAGCACACCTGTTGCTGCAAGAATGGGAGGAACCCGTTAGTAAACATGCATTAGTAAACCGACGGTTGCACATCAGCAGCTTCAGTAGATTGAAGGTTGCAGATCAGGCTTAGTAGATTGACAGTTGCAGATCAGCTGAAGATGATTGACGGTTGCAGATCAGGCTTAGTCGATCGACCATAACACGCCAGCTGCTGCTGCATGCTCCGCAACACACCCCGCCCGCACCAAGTTCCGAAAGAACTCTCACCCCGCAACTCTGTTTCGCGACGACTAGAACAGAGAGCGCCGGTGGTATACCACCAGCAGCAAAGCTCCACCAGCAGCACCCAAGCTCCACACCACCGAACTAACTCAATTCCTAGGATTTCCAAGTCGACTCAAAAAGCTCGGGCAGCACAGGGAGCAGGGGGGTCAAAGGTTTCAGTATCGGATTGCGTAATCATGATCTTGCTGACGCAACTGATGCGCAGGTCGAGCCGTGGCGGGGATGCGGCCACGACCCTGCTGACGTGGCCTCCTCGAACCACACCTCTAAGCGCTGCGCGACCAGCGACACGGGAGAAACCGGGCTCGCGACTTCGACGCGCGCGCGCCCGCGCGAGTCGCCCGCCAGGCTGAGCGGACGGATAGGCGTGTAGTACCGCGGCGAGACCGCGCGGCATTGAACCCGCGCCACGTCAGCACCCAACGGGTTTACGTTCGAAACGGAGTCATTATTAGGAGCGCGTCCGGCGGAGTGCGCTTCGTGAGGGCCATAGCGCGGCGCGCAGGTTGCAGCGGCCGTAGGTCGAGAATAATACAGCTGATGGCGCCGCGGATTAAGCCCGTAGTGATCGTGAACGTTGGATGACGGTCCCGCGCCACCCGCGCGCGGCATGGTCATTGCAGTGCTTCGCCCGAGCGGCCCCTGTTGTACTAGCTGATGATTCGCCTGTCGCAACCGCGACCGCGGCCGCTCTTCCTCCTCTCCTTCCGTCTTGACCTGTCGCGACCGCGGCCGCTGTTCCTCTTCTCCTTCCGTCATGATCTGCCGCGACTGCGGGTGCTGTTCCCGATATCCAATGTCCTGTGCGGCGATGCGAAATCGCTGCTGCTGCGCGTGGGCTTCGCGGCAGAGATTGGATCGCGGGCAGCTGGACTCGGACCGCGGGCAGTTAGAAGCGTGCGCAGCTGCGCAAGCGGGCTGCGGAGAGCGGTTTCGAAGCGCGGTGGCTGCAGGCGGTCGCGACGACAACGGCGAGGAACTCAGAGGGGAGAAGGGTAGCGGCGAGGACGGGGCGGAGGGCGCGAAGTGGGCGGAGGGCGCGAAGTGGGCGGAGGGGGAGATGTGGGCGGAGCGGGAGAAATGGGCGGAGGGCGAGAAGTGGGCGGAGGGGGAGAAGTGGGCGGAGGGCGAAAATGGGGCGGAAGGGGAGAAAGGGGACAGGGGCGAGAGGTGGCGTTTGAACTCGCAGCTGCGGCCAACATAATGTCTGCTTTGATTGGCCCCGCAAAAATTTTCCCCACTACCCGCAGCAGCAGCTGCTGCTTCCGTTCCGTTCGCAGTCGCGCCACCAGCTGTAGCAGTTTTCCGCGCCGCTGCTGCTGCTACTGCCGGCGGCGAGTACGGCTGGCCGCGGGAGTCCGCTAGTGACTGCAGGCTGCGCTGCGTGCGCGGGGAAGGATGCGCGGGCTTGGGATACGCGGGCGGGGACGGGACCTCCGCGCAAAATAGACGGCCTGCCCCGTCTTCCCCTCTGAGCGGAAGCGTTCTCGCCCGCCGCATGACCCTCGGGCCTGTCGCGGCGGCTTCCCCCAGGGAAAACGCGCCGTCCTCCGAATGCACTGCGTCCGCGCCGGCGCCGGTGGGCGATGCCGCGCGCGCCGTACTCCGCGGACTCGTTCGGCGCCGCGAGATCATCCTCGGGCCGCTGGGTGCCACAGTGCACCTAGTTGGACTCGGCTGACTGTAACGGAACGAATTCTCCGCCCTACCCGCCGCCGCCGCCGCCGCCGCCGCTGCCGTCGCGCAATGCACCGGGGATAGGTCCGCCCCTAGTAATGTGTCTCTGCGGTACTCTGGCGGCCGCGGGATCCGCCGCGCCCATGGGGAAACGGAGGGCGGGGAAACTTCCGAGGATGGGGAAGCTTCCGAGGACTGCGGTGATTCTACCGAGAGCGCCGTTGGTTGTCGAAATTTCTCAAGTGCCAGCTGGACAGATCGGCGGTTTGTTGTAGTACCGCTGAAAGAGCGACTCCCCATGGTTGTTAAGCCTCGTTCCACGCGCCTCGCGTACACCTGCCGTGCTGCCGCAGCCGCCGCCGCTGTTGTCGTCGCCGCGGAAGATGGAGACAACTCTGGGACCGCCGCCGCTCGTGCGGCCTGATGGGTCGAGCATATGCCGCTGTCCCGCGACTGTGCCACAACTGTCGGGCTCTGCGTCCTTGACGGCGGCTGATGCGGCGGATGATGCGGCGGCGAGCACGGACCTCCTGGACTCCGAGCCCCAGACCTGCTGTCGTCGGGCCCCGCGATTGTTGCTGATTTGACGAGTAGGTGCGGGCGACGCTCCCTGTTGAAGCCACCATTGTCGCTGGCAGCGGCTGCGGCGGCTGTGGCGGCGCAGATGGGTCGTCGATCAGAGCAGTACTGAGCGCCTCTTCGCGCTGCGTCGTTCGCGGCGCGATGGCTTACAGAATCGCTGCTACTGCGGCAAGGGCTGGGCGCGAGGTCGTCGCTTTCCGCCGCGGCGCCGTCCGCCACGAGTGTTTCCAGCTCGACCAGGCGGCGGCGATTTCCGGCGGAGGCCATGCTGATGCTCCGCGCGACGTCATTCCCACGATGCGCCACGGCGACATTACCATATTGCGGCGCGTTTTCACAATCCAGGGGTACGTCTTCATGACAAGCTGACGGTAACATGGCGGCGGAGCTTGAAGGGATCGCAACGCGGAGCTGCAACCGGCGGGGACCGCCGGACTCCGGACCGGCTGCGCGTTTTGGTTCCTGGTGCGGTAAAAGAAGCTTCCGTGGCGCGTAAAAAACTTGCAGAGGCTGGACTTGCGAGTGCTCTAGTGATGGCTTGGCTACAGTTTGAGGTAGCAGTGTTGCCGCCGCTCGGATGGGTAGCTCCACGCGGGGCAGTGGTGACACCCGACCGCGCCGCGCGAGCAATGGCGTGCTGCTGCTGCTTCGCGGTGCGACATCATCCGCGCTGCAGTTGGTGGTGGTAAGACCGCTGTTCGAAGTTTCCGATATGCTGTTGCTGCTAGTGCTCCCGCAAGAGCTGTCTAGGAAATCAAGGGCACTGATGCTGCTGGTATTGCTGCTGCTAAGTGAAGGATTCGTGGTGGTTAGCATGCCGGGCTATGCGCTCGTGGGCTTCGGTGTGGCAAGGAGGCTGTTGGAAGGGAGGGCTATCTGGGGTGTGTGGCGAATTCAGAGGTAAAGCGCAGGCTGCGACTGCAAGGATTCTGCGAGGCTGTCAGCACTTGCTGTGCTGTGCTGTATTTCAACGGCAGTGAGAGGGTTTTGAAGCTCCCCCCGACCAACAAAGTTTCGACAGCCGAGCCGAGTCGTTAACTCTGCACGGTGTTGCCGAGGCGAGCTGAAGCAAGCTAGGCTGACGTGAGGGAGTACACGTGTAGTTTTTGGAACCATAGTGTACGGAATAATATACACGTGTCCTGGGACGGATTATGAGATTGGATGAAGAGGTCACATCACACATCCGTCACATCAGATGTCTGTAGTGAGGTGAATCGTGATTCGTGAATCGTGATGAAGCTCAGTTTGACGCGACGCGATAGTGGTGGTGAGGCGATTTGGAATGAAGGACAGACCGGACAGCGCAAGCAAGTGGGCGACCTAGCTGACAGCCACAATCATCTCTCTGGAGTACAGAACAAGACGCCCTCAGAAAGCCTTGTGCGGTTGGAGGACTTGGTGAGACGTTGAGGTAAGTCAGGAAGTGCCTCGTTGGCGACGAAACGTGTGAAGGAAGAACGAAGGAACTTGCCATCCCCTGAAGTGAACTAGAAAGTACAGTACCAAATCGGATGTGTTGGATTGTCGAAGGGGCAGGGAAAATGAAATGTATTCGGCACTAGAGCTGAGTTGGAAAGTGACGCGTGTGGCGTACTGTACTTTCTGCGAGAACTATTCCAGCGTAATTTGTGTTGACTAGTCAGCACAAGTCGCCCCTGATTCTTACTGTTGCGTGCGCAGTCAGATATTTATTTCGTTTTGGGCCCAGTCAAAAAAGAATGACTGACGCGTGCCACTCAATATGGGTAAAGGCTTGGTAAAATCGGTGGTGCACTACACTGAGCCGAGTGCAAAATCGCTGTACTCTTTTGAAGCCATCACATATAGCAACGTAGCCATAATTTTGGACTGTCCTATACTCTTTTTACGGGTGCAATGAATCGAAGTAGCGAGAATTGCACTAAGGTGTCAAACGAGTACAAAACGTGAGCGAAGGCATGAGCGAACATTTATACGCGGAACATGCAAACGCTAACGCGGTGCGTGCGAGCTAGCTAGTGCTACGCTGGAAGCAGGGCTCGGGCTAGTCCCGAAGCGTAGGCCGACACGGCTGATCCAGTAGTGCGAGGTTTGGGAAACAGTGAGTGCGAAGTCGGCCAAGCCCCATTACCAGCAACGGGCGAACAATGGCTGCTGCCATACGCGGTGTTGCAGGGTGCTCTAAGGAATATCGAGAAAAATCCTTACACTACCCCCCCCCCCCCCCCCCCCTCTGAAGTGTTGGGCTGAGAAGCCCTAGGATCTTTGTAGAGTTTAAGGACTGAGTAGGATTGTAATAGCGGAAGCGTTGTAATACAGAGTGGTTGAACCACCTTGCACTAGTATGTGAGAGCAAAGTAAGTTAGATTAAACAAGCAAATACAAGGTTTATATAAGAGTATAAGGAATACGAATAGATAGATTTAAACCGTTTTACTGTTGCGATTCGATACAGTGCGACTCGGGCGACTGCTCAATGTCGAGTCAGTTGTGTGTCCTTGCTGTCGCGCTGTAATTGTCGAGTCAAAGGTCGCTGACCTTTGACTTTCCCGTAACCTCTAGGCGGTTACCCTAACCTCCGAGGGTTGACTCGTGATGCTTCGATTTGGGCTGCTTCGCTAGTGTCCTGAGTTTCGACACGACAGAGGCGCCTTAAGACTTATTGTTCCCAACACTCCCCTTCGCTTCTGGAGTGTCGCTGATGGTGACGTGGCTTTGTCCAGTCAGCAGCATGCAGTACTCGAACTTCTGTTTTCCGAGCTTCTTGGTCAAATAATCGGCTGCCATCTCGGACGTGGGACAGTAGGATAACTCGAGTCTTCCTTTCTCGATCTCGTCTTTCACGAAGAAGTATCGCAGAGCGATATGCTTCGTTCTGTTCGCGAATCCGTTTTTGTTGGCGATGCGAATTGCAGATTGGTTGTCGCAGTGCAGGGTGAAGCTGGGTAACTCAGCTAACTTTGCTTCTTCCAGCAGTTCGCGAAGGTAGAGTCCTTCCTTGGTGGCTGAGCAGAGGGCGATATATTCTGCTTCAGCTGAAGAGAGAGCGATTAGTTCCTGCTTACTCGACTGCCAGGAGATAGGCCCGATAGGCTCGAGACGATAGACGTAGCCGGTACGAGAACGCCTGTTATCAGAATCGCCGGCATGGTCAGCATCGACGTAGCCGATTAGTTTCGTCGTCGTAGCTTCGCCCTTGTAGTAAGTTAGGCCGATCGTCGGTGTGCTCACGAAGTAGTGCAGTGCGCGATCGAGCTCCGCCATGTGCTCAGCTTCGGGTTTCTTGAGATAGGTGGCGAGTTGACTCGCGGAGTAGGATAGATCCGGGCGACAGGTTACGGCTGCGAAGAGGAGGCAGCCTAGTTTCCTCTGGTAGTCTCGTATTCCGGCAGCCTTAAGTGGAGCGGGATTTCCTTTGCCGCTTCCTGTCGTGTGGCGGTATGGCGTGGCGATGGCGGTAGGCGTGAGAGAGAAGCGCTTGGCGATAGTGTCGGCGTATTTCTCGGCGTTGAGGTAGATAGCATTTTCTTCTTCGCGGATGTTGAGCCCGAGATACTGGGTGACGGTGGAGGAGACGGTGAGCGTGAGGTCCTTCTGCAGCTCCCCTTCGAACCAGGTGATGACGTCGTCGGTAGAGCCGATGTAGAGCAAGTCGTCGACATAGACGATCAGTAAGATGTAGTCAGCGCCTTTGGTGAGGCGATACATTCCTTGGTCGTGAGGCAGTTGTCGGAATCCGATGCGGGTGAGGCGGGTGTGTAGGTGCTGTTGCCACAGTCGCGGGGCTTGTTTGATTCCGTAGAGCGACTTCTGTAGTTGACAGACTTGGTTGGGGTTTCCGTGAGTGCCGTGTGGGAGTTCGACGAAGATGTCTGCGTCGACGGGTGCGTAGAGGAATGCGTTGGCGACATCGATCTGTCGCAGCTTCTTCTTCTTCATGGCGGCGACGGCGAGAAGAATGCGGAGAGAGGTATGTCGACTAACTGGGGCGAAGGTCTCGGTGAAGTCTCGTCCTTGTTCCTGGTCGAATCCACGCACGACCCAGCGTGCTTTGAACTTCTCGATTGTGCCGTCAGCTTTCGTCTTGATGCGGAAGACCCATTTCCCGGTGAGAATGGTTTTGTTCCGTGCCACACTTGCGGGAACGACCTTCCAGGTGTTGCGTTCCTCCAATGCCTTTAATTCCCTGTCCATGGCTTCACGCCATTTTTCCCTGTGTTCCCCCCCCAGAGCCTGCTGAACTGTCGCAGGCTCTTTAGGAAGAGTGTTGCCGGCAGTCCCGTGGACTGCGGTGACGAGGCCAAGGATTTGTAGCCGAGTCTGTGAGTATCGAGGGAGTTCTGGATCCTCGGGATAAGCTGCTTCGTCTCCCGCTTCTGGGTCGGGGATGAAATTTGGCCCTATCCTTTCTACTTCGTTGGTGTTGACTGTCGCAGGTGT